ACCCACCTTCTCCCTAGATGAACTCATTCACCCCAACATCACGTACCAGTTGTAGGCTGATAGTTTCCACATTTACATATTCAGCCTGGACTCTTTCCAGAACTCAGATTCATGAACTCAGCTGCCTACTAGACATCTACCCTCAGATGGCAAACTTAGCAAGGCCAAGGCCAAAGCCCAACTACTGATTTTCTTCCCAAATCCCTTCTCAACTGCAGTAATGGCATCACCATTTACCCAGGTGCTTAGGCCAAAACCTAGATGTCATTCTTGATATCTTAGGTCTCATTTCGATCTATTAGTAGGTCATTCCATCAGCTCCACCTCCAAACTGATACATTCTGAATTAACCACTTCTCATCACCTCCACTACGACAACTCCAGTCCAGGCCACATCCTCTCACCTGGGCCACTGCAGAAGGTTCTAACCAGTCTTCCTGCCTCCTCTTGACAACCCCCTTCTCCCAGTCCATACCCAGCAGCCAGAGTAGTGTGTTCTAAGGCACAAATCAGTTCCTATCACTCACCCGCTCCAAATCCTCCAATGGCTGCCCATTTGCACGCAGAATAAAACCCACACAGCTCCCCACAGCCGCGATGCATCACAGCATCTGCCCCCGCCTGCTGTTGTCACGTTCCTCTGTCCCTGTCTGCAGACACACCAAGCTCGCTGGGTCCTACCCCTGCCTGGTCCTGCTGCTTGGCCTGCTCTCCCCTCAGGCCTTCACATGGCGGCCTCCTTGACTGCCCCCCTGCCTCCATTGTCTCCTCAAGGAATTCTGACATTATCCTACTTCATTTTCTTCAATCGTGTTTAACTGCAGTTGAAAACCATCTTATTTCTTTCCTTGTTTACTATGTCTTCCCCTTAGAGTCTATAATGCTTGAGGACGGGGACTTCACCCGACACCACGGAATTCCCAATGCCTAGGACGGGGCTTGGCAGACACAAAGAACTCCAACACGTGTTGAGTAACCGAGCCAAGTGCCTGACACACAGTTAGTGCTGAATTAATGGGAGCTATTAGTCCTTCAAAGACAACTCCTCTTGACTCCTTTGCATGCCTGGGTTAGCAGGTTTTTATTGATGTGACAGATAATGAGCCTTTAGAACTAGAAGCTAGCTCAGGAGTTTCAACCCCTCTCCCTCCTCATCGCACCCGAAGACATGTGTCCACCATCGGCTCAACGGGCTCGGTGTGAAGGCGGTGGCATACCTGACCACCTCTTTGAATTTATGGACATTTAAGCAAGATTGTGGAGTGATTACAGGACAGTGTGTTCACATTAAGAAATTGTATGAATGAAATGTAACTTAATTTAGCCTCTGGCTAAAGAATCTAAACTTCAGATGGCTTTTCATGTGGGTCAGTTGACCATGACCTGCCCCATTAAGACGCTGAGCTGCTGAAGTATAAATATATCATTTCAAAGAAGATTAGGACTCCACAGAGGGAAATGGCAGCTTAAAGGAGTGATAATAGTAAGGGTTTAAGGAGGGCAGGGGTAGGAATTGAGCAGGGATTTGCAGAGAACTCAGGGTTCACAGCCAGTCAGCCATAAGCTTGGCTCCAGATTTAAGAAATGCTTGAGCCATAGACCGAGTCTGCTGAGCCCTCCCTGGGCCTGGCCCCAGCCTACTGTCAATAACCTCCTTCATCAGCCTAAACTCATGTGCTGCCCCTCACACCCTGTGGGCCTGAACACCACAGGGACCAGGAATCACACTGTGCATTATACTTTTTATCTTTATTCAGATCACATTTACATCTTTTATGCCTTAGATTCCCCCCACTCCCAGTTGATTATTTTACTTGTAAAATTTAGGGGAAATCAGTACATTTTACCAATGTGAAAGGGGAAATAGATCTGGATTTTAGGTTTGAATATTCTGAGTACCTCCTACTCTTTGAAAATTAGGTTCTGGGGTTGTCCCTGTCACTAATCTGAACTCATACAAATCAGTCTCACCCTTTTTGCCTCAGCGTCATCTGTAAACTGAAAGGATACTGAATGGGGAAGTCAGAACTTGGTTTTCTGTCCTGGAAAATGGGGTAATAAAGATTAAATGGGTTATAAAGATTAAATGAGAATATCTGTAATGTGAAATGCTTGACATAATGCATGGCGGTGATTACAGTGCTCATTACATGCTTTCTCAGCTAAATTAACCATGACAGCCTTTCTAAGGCAACAGCTATCCCTCCTGGGACACTCGGAGATCCTTTCCAGCTGGTACCTAACCCGTGCAGTGCACAAGCATCTGGGGTGCCATTGGATTTGCACTCTATCTAGTGATAACTATTATTCACTCATGCGTGTTATTTACTCGGAACTGTGAGGCATTCTATAAGTTACCTAATTAAACACTCCTACCTTAATGAGGAGCATTATTTTCTACATTTTACTAACGAGTAAATTGAGGCTCTGACAGGATTAACTATCTTGTCCAAGTTTATTGCAGTTAGTGCGTTTTAATTCTTATCTGACGCAGACCTGTCTGACTCCAAGGTCCATGTTTTCCCTATTCTGCAGTAAATGTAGGGGAGGAATGGCAGCTGACAAATAGAAATGTTAAGAAATTAGACTCCTTTTAAAAAAAAATATTTTTATTGACTTCAGAGAGGAAGAGAGATAGAAACATCAATGATGAGAGAGAACCATTGATTGGCTGCCTCCTGGATGCCCCCACTGGGGACTGAGCCCGCAACCTGGGCATGTGCCCTTGACCGGAATCAAATCTGGGACCTTTCAGTCTGCAGGCCGACACTCTATCCACTGAGCCAGACCAGCCAGGGCTGGACTCCTTCTTTCTTTTCTTTTTCTTTCTTCTTTTTTTAAAATATATTTTATTGATTTTTTACAGAGAGAAAGGGAGAGAGAGAGAGAAACATCGACCAGCTGCCTCTTGCACATCCCCTACTGGGGATGTGCCCACAACCAATTTTGTTTAATATCACTTCCCACCTCTAAATAATTTCACTTCACACCTGCCTTCTGGTTCATTCTACCATCAGGTCCCATTTTCTTTTCTTTTCTTTTTTATTAAAAAGTCCCGATTTTTGGAAAGAATTTTTTAATTCTTTTGGACTTTTTAAAAAAAATATATATTTATTGATTTTTTACAGAGAGGAAGGGAGAGAGATAGAGAGCTAGAAACATCGATGAGAGAGAAACATCGACCAGCTGCCTTTTGCACACCCTCTACCGGGGATGTGCCCGAAACCAAGGTACACCAGAATCAAACCCGGGACCTTTCAGTCAGCAGACCGATGCTCCAAACTGGTTTCGGCTCAGGTCCCATTTTCTCTCACCACCTCCCATTCCCACTATGAACAGAAAGTGAGACTTGGGTATTAATTCTAAGTTTTAGAATATGCATTTTACGTGGGAGACCCAACTAAAAAAACAATACTTTCTCAGTCTACCAGGATAAAGAAAATTACCTTGTTTATATCAAGATGTAGGTTTCAAATACTTATGTCACAAAAGTATCACTACTTTTTGTCACTTGTATAGTTTATTTGCATATTCATCTTAAAACAATACTTCAATATGCAATTTAAAGTGCCAACCTGAGTAACCTGGATTACGGGTTAATTGAAAATGAAAACAGTCAGACTCAAGGCACCCCTTTAGCTCAGAGTCAGTCACGGGAGCTGAGTGTGCATAAATCATCCTACCACACTGCAGTGATTAATAGTGTCTAAAAACACATACAAAGAAGCTGTATTTATTTTTAGAGAATTATTTAAAGTTCAAATGGGTCACAAATTGCTGCTTTGCTAGATATAATTACCATTCTATTGCTCTTGTTTTATTGACTAGTTCTTAATCCTGAGGCTTATGCCTGCTTACACCTGAGATAAGCATGCTTTAGGCATTTGTGAATGACAGAGTCAGCAGCTGAGCTCAGAGGGAAGGCAGTCAGGGGCCACAAGGCTGTAATTCTTTCCATGTTAATGACAGTAATGTAAAGCTGACACATAAGCAGTATGCATTCAAAACACCGACACCTGATAGCAGGCAAGGAAGAGAGAATGGGAATTCCAGAGCGAGGGGGGAAACACTGAGAAGACATAACTACTCCAGAGACGTGAAGAAAACTACAAAGACGGAGCCCGGGCTCTGTATGAAAAGGAAACCAATCACTCCCTTGGGGTTGATCCCTCAGCAGTTTCAGCCCGTTGTGGTCCTGCTTCTTTCAGGGCTGGAAGCACTATTTAATTTCATGGAAAAGGAGACATCTCCGAACAAAAGACTGCCATTTACCCAGAGAGAGAGGCCTTCTTATCAGCGAGGAGCTTAATAAGGAAAATAGTTTGTGCCTTGCACAACTTTCAAAAGCCGTTATTTCTATTCAATTTTTGGTAAGTTAACAAAATAAGAGCCTGTTGAATGAATGAAGCACAGGATGGGAGAAACGATACAGTGGTAGTATCTTGAGAGCTTAAGTTCCATTACTTTTACTAGAAGGTGCAGTGTATGCCTCAGGTGTGCTTGGTCTGCTGCACAGTATGTTTATTTTCAAGAACGGAATGCTTAAATGAGGTCACATTTGGAGGTCACACCCCCGAACAAACAACCATATGCTGGCCAGTTCTAGAGTATCAAAAACTTCAATTGCTCAGTTAAATTAATCAAATTAACAAACGTTCCTTCTAGGAATTTCAAGAGAAAAAAAGTATGTGAGCAGTATTTCAAATATTCACTTTCAGATGAATGATATGATGTAAATTAAAATTAGTACAAACTAATAATTGAATAGTAGCAGAATTAAATATAGACCCTTTTGTTGCATAGTGGTCAAAATGGTTTATTCATATCTGGTAAAATCAGAACTGAAATGATCCACTGAATCCTTAATGCTCCATCCCCCGCTGCCCATGATCTGACATGTGGACCCCACAGAGACCCGTCTCAACTGGCAGCACTCTCCACCTCCGCCCACGGGGCTGGCCCCCCTCATTCAAAAGCCCACACAACTGGTCTCTGAGACTTTATGACGTGCTTTCTTCCTTTTCCTCTGGCATCTTTTCCCAGATTGGCTCCTTGATGTGTTCTGGTAACCGCTCTAATTTTGTCTAAAAAGAGAAAAATAAAACTGTAATATAATGTGGTCTTAACTGAACTCTTTGGCAACAAAATAGATTAGTTTTATTCCCTGAAATCCTCTTGGCTTCTTTTATCTCCTAGCCCTACTTGCCAGCCCCCCCGACCCCCCCATACCCCTCTCATCTTTTTGTAGTCTGTGAACACAGAGAGAAGAAAACTTGATGGAATATAAAACTCTGATACATATAATCTATTTGATCCTCAGTGATCTCTAGGGACTGCCACCTAATGTGGCCCCCATGTCTGGATAACTCCTGGGAGGGAGGGAGACTTCGGAGGCAGCTCGGAGAGGATTTGGCTGCAGTGCAAGATTATTTGGTTGGAATGGCACCACTGCACAGGGAGGTGGAGACCACAACCACCGTGGCAATAGTGCCTCCAGGTCTGCCACAGGCCCTCCCCTCCACTCCATGGGCCAGGACAAGGCTGCATCCTATAGAATAAAAGGCTAATATACAAACCAAGAGAATGGTGGAACGACTGGCTGCTATGATGCACACTGACCACCGGGGGCAGACCCTCAATGTAGGAGCAGCCTCCTGGTGGTCACAGTGCTCCTACAGGGGGCGTGCCGCTCGGCCACAAGCTGGGCTGATAGCTGGCAAGAGCCTCTCCCGCCTTTGCACTTAGGCCTGGGAGCGGGCCTAAGCCATCGTCAGACATCCCCCGAGGGCTCCCCGACTGCAAAGGGCTCAGGCTGGGCTGAGGGCCACCCTCCCCCGATGCCAGTGCAAAGATGTGCTGTTGATATTTGGCTCTGTTAACTAATGGGTTTGCCGGCCACTGCTCTACTGTATTAAAACAATACAGATTGTTGGGGAAGGTCATAAAAAGACATGACTACCTGTTTGACCTGTGAGCTGAACCCAAGCAATCAAAGGCTCCTTGCCTCCTCCCCTGTGTTTTAGAATGTGTGTTCTGCTGCTTTCCCTGCTCCAAGGATACAGGTTTGAGACAGAAATGTGGTATTGAGAATGTCTGGACCGGGTACATGACTGACCCCATTAAGGTCTCCTGGATACATGAATGACCAAGGTGGGCCTCTATATGACTGCTAAGGTTTGGCAGGCGTGTTCAGAAAGCACACTGTCTTGCAGCTGCCCATGACAAAGCTGGTAAATTCTCTTGCTTATTAAACCTGCCACCTACTGTTTGGAGCGGTCTGCCTCTCTGCGGTCTCTCCTTGTCCTCTGCATCTCGGGTGGTTTCAGATTACCTGGGAAGCTCCCGGGAAGGTTGTGACCTCACTCACCCTACCCCCAAAAGAGGTAGAAATCAGTCATACCTTTGTAACTTCCATGGCAACTCCTTCAGGTAAGTTTCGCTGAATGTATTCCAGGTAGACATCTGCTGTGCTTCCAGTTAGATGCTTTAGCTGAAATTTCAAACAGAAATTGGTTCACCCTCTGCTGTCAGAGTAGACATTTTACAGTGTTAATGGTAAAAGTGGTAGGGCCTTTTCTTCCTCTCGGGCTCTGACACAGAATCCCATTTTAAAACCCTGTAGATCCTCCGGTGGAACTGGATGGGGGAGCACGGCCCTGAAGCATCGCTTCCCAGGGGTCTGAGAGCCAGAGCCCCGGGGACCCGGCTGGCAGCACGGTGTCGAAGCAGTATACCTACCCGACTTTCACAAGACAAAACACAAAAGGAAACAAAGACTAGATTATAAGAGTTAGTATGAGATTTTCTGCATGCTCCATGCTGAATTGTTTCTGTTGGACATGGGTGCATAAAATTTTGGTGTTTTTTTTTTTTCTTTCTATTTAATGGTGGAACTACATCTTAATATTTGTATCTTCAATGTATCCTCAATGTCTAGTACAGAGTTTCCAATGGAAAAGATGCACAGTTGTTTTAATAACATTTATAAATAATTTACCATGTGATGAAGTATTCGCAGTGTTTCAGATAAATACTCATTTAATCCTCACACTAACCTAGAAGATGGGTACCATTATTATTCCCATTTTGTAGGTCAAAGAATTGAGGCCCAAGGCATACAGCTAGTTAAGTGCCAGGACTAGGACCCGGCTACCTGACTCCAGAATCCAGGCACTCCTTAATCACAAGACTATGTCAACCCTCGTGGATGCAGAAGTTAATGAGGTGAATGAAAAAATCGTAATGCTGCCATAACAGATATGGGGAATCCAGGAAGCTGTGAAAAGAATTATTAGAACTGTATGAAAATTTAACTAGAATTTTTGAAAAACAAGCAAAATTATTCCAATGTTATCTTATTGTACAAAAATTAGTCAGCTGCCCTAGCCGGTTTGGCTAAGTGGATAGAGAGCGCCGGCATGTGGGGACTGAAGGGTCTCGGGTTCGCTTCTGGTCAAGGGCACATGCCCGGACTGCGGACTTTATCCCTGCTGGGGACAGGCAGGAGGTGGGCGGCTGATCAATGATTTTCTCTCATCATTTACGTTTCTATCTCTCTCTTCTTCTCACTTCCTCTCTGAAATCAATAAAAATATATTTTAAAAAATAAATAATTAGTCAGCTTCCTAGCCGGTTTGATTCAGTGCTCAGAGTGCAGGCCTGTGGACTGAAGGGTCACGAGTTCAATTCTAGTCAAAGTCATGTACTTCTCTGTTGCAGGCCTGCATGAGGCAATCAATCGATATTTCTCTCTGTCTCTCCACCTCCTTTCCCCTCTCTCTAAAAATCAATGGAAAGAATATCCTCTGATGAGCATTAACAGACAAAAAATAATGCTGGTATGGTTTGATCTGTTGCTCTGAGAAATACAAATTGTTCTAGGGGCAATCAAATTTTTAAAAAATTAGTCAGCGGCATCTGCATTATTGAGCTGAAGTAGAACTATTCTAAACGATGGCTTTATTTGAGTTTGATTTCCTATCTGGTGCTCCCATAAACACAAAAGGACCTTTAGCATAAGCTGACTAAAAGGAAGTCAGCCAATGTGAAAGGAAAGTTATGCTAGCATGAAATATGGGCATTTCAAAATTACCTGAGTATTTGAAATAAACTCACCTCAAAGCACCTGAAAAGTGTTCTCATTTCATACTGAACTCTGTGCTTCTTGAAAATATGCACCGATTTGAGAAGAGTAAATCGCTCTATTTTCCTTGGAGGTTCATGTCTGAAAATTAATGGGCAAAACAACATGCTCAAGCTAAGTGATGATAAATCCTTAGTCAGTGATATCAAAGCACGATCCCACAATTCTACAGGTCAGGTTCATGCTCAATTACAGGCATTAACTACCATTTACAGACTTCTACTTGTCAGGACTGTCATCTATGCTTAACAAATGATGTCATAAAGCTCAGGCCAAAATAAACACCTTGGACAGCAACACAAACATTTTTTTGCCACAGCCCCAAAATTGAGCCTTGTCATGCAAGCGCTCTCTCTCTCTCTCTCTCTCTCTCTCTCTCTCTCTCTCTCTCTCTCTCTCTCTCTCTCTCTTACACATACACACACACACACACACACTTCCAGCTTTTACAGCCGCGAAGTCCCTTACTGATCAAATTTATGAACTGTGAAAAGTAACACCAATGTGATGGACACAGTTGTAATATCTGCTGTGTTATTTTAGGAAAATTTACAGATGATCCATAATCATAAAACCATAGTCTGTTATGGAACACGTGGATTCATTGTGTTTTGTAAAGAGGCGAGCTGGCACAGCCCCAATGGGCCTTGTTCGACATCAGGAGCAGGTGACGAGACAAGGAGGGAGTTACTCTGGACCCTGCAGTGATTTCAGGGCCCATAACGCCTACCTTGAAATTACTGAGTGGCTGGTGTTTCTCAGGGCAGTTTTGAAACAATGAACATATTAGCCAAAGATCATCAAATCAAAGGGTCTCTAAAAAGACTGCTTGCCTACCTAACTGCCTCTCTGCCCCATGGAGATCCCAGACAAAAGATCTGTTGCTCTGAGAAATACAAATTGGATCTCCTGTCTGTGAAATTGGTAGAGAAAAGATTTCCTTCATTTTCCTGGTTCACTCATTATAGCATGTAAAACATTCCAGAAGACAGGAGGGATGACCCTGCTTAGGATAATAGGAAAAGCTACACCCTCCCTATCGTGAGTTCTATTCCATTTTAAAAGCTCAGACGTGGCTGGAATCAGCACCATTTTCTGGCTGACCAGGTTACAACAACTGACAGTCAGATTAGGAAAGATTATACTTACACTTCAATAGAGATCCCAAGTTCTTTAGCAGCAAGCACGGCAAAATATTCATAGCTGTCCAACACAGCCTTATCATGGCCTTTTACTAAAACCGATAGGCGCTTATACAATGTGTCTGGTTCATCAGAAATAGTTATCTACAATTTTGAAATAAAAAAGAAAAGTTTCATTTGTGGTTCCTCTAATATTTACAACTAAAATATTTAACATATTATCCTCACTCAATTGAGCAACTTCAGAGTTTAGTAATAAAGGGGGAGGAAAATGCTATGTAACATTTTAACACTATAAGCTCAAGTATCTCATTACTATCACATTCCGATCTGCACAATGACCCTTAGAATCTGTTAAAAGAATTAAAGGGACTTTCAAGGCAACAAAATCACTAATGGAACCTTCTAAATTAAGAGTTATTGAGCCCCAAACTCACAAGGGAAAGGATTTTGGGGTCTATTAACAAAGTAGCCTGGTCAGAAGACCTGGATTGGGAATTAAACTGCGACTTCCAGCTAAATGGCAATGGACAAGTCACATAATCTCACTGCACTTTAGTTTTCTCATATATAAAACAGCATACTGATGCTACAGCTCACAGCATTTCATTAGAGAACCAGAGGCCCTGTGCAGGAGATTCGTGCACTCAGGGGGTCCCTCAGCCCGGCAGGTGCCCTCTTGCAGTCCGGGAGCCCTCGGGGGATGTCTGACTGATGGCTTGAGGCGTCAGTCGGATATACTTAGTGCTGCTGTGGAGGCGGGAGAGGCTCGCCACCACCCCGCACCTGCACTTGCCAGCTATGAGCCCGGCTTCCGGCTGAGTGGAGCTCCCCCTGTGGGAGTGCACAGACCACTATGGGGCAGCTCCTGCGTTGAGCATCTGCCCCCTGGTGGTCAGTGCACATCATAGCAACCAGTTGTTTCACTGTTTGGTCCATTTGCATATTAGCCTTTTATTATATAGGACTATAGGCTTGGTGCACGAAATTAGTGCACAGGGAGGGGGTCCCCTCAGCCCAGCCTGCACCCTCTCCAATCTGGGACCCCTTGAGGGATGTCCAATCCCGGGGTTTGGGCCTAAACCGGCAGTCGGACATCCTTCTCACAATCCTGGACTGCTGGCTCCTAATCGCTCATCTGCCTGCCTGCCTGGTCACCTCTAAATGCCCCTGCTGCTGGCCAGGTCGCTCCTAATTGTCTCCGCCATCCCCCCCACCCTCCCGATGGCCTGGTTGCCCCACACAGCCTGCTTGTTCAGTTGTTTGGTCGTCCCTTACTAAACCCCCTACTGGTCTGGTCATAGGCAGCCATCTTGTGAGGGCCTGAGGGTCAATTTGCATATTACCTCTTTATTGTATAGGACATATATATATCTTTTATTGATTTCAGAAAGGAAGGGAGTGGGAGAGAGAGAGAGAAAAAAACATTAATGATGAGAGAATCATGAATTGGCTGTTTGGTCTATTTGCATATTAGCTTTTATTATATAGGCTAAGAAAACAGATTAAAGTGTTTATAAATGATAAAGCATACTATATAATAAAAGCATAATATGCAAATTGACCAAATGTCATAATGACCCTTTGGCAGGGGGCAGGGCTGGAGAGCAGGCAGCGCCAGGCCAGCCAAGGCGCAGTAGCGGCCAGTGGTGGAGGGACCGAATGTCATAATGACCCATTGGCAGGGAGGCAGGACTGGCCACTCACCAGCGGGCAGCAACCCCTGATCAGCCTGCCCGGTCTCCTCCCACAGAGGGAGGCCAGACTGTGGCTTAGTAGGACATCCCCTGAGGGCTCCTGGACTGCGAGAGGGCACAGGCCGGGCTGAGGGACGCCCATCATAGGGCGCATGAATTTTTGTGCATGAGGCCCTCTAGTTGTTATATAAGATAATTACTATTCATATTCTCTTTTTTTTTTATCCTCACCTGAGGATATGTTTATTGATTTTAGAGAGGAAGAGAGAGAGACAGAGAGACAAACATTGATGTGAGAGAGAAACATCAATCAGTTACCTCCTGTACATGCCCCAACTGGGGATCAAAACCTGTAAACTAGATAATCCCCTGACCTGGAACTGAACCCACAACCTTTTAGTGTAAGGGACGATGCTTCAACAGACTTAGCCAACCTGCAAGGCCCATTCATATTCTTTATTTTAAAATGTCTCTTAAAGAGAAACATTGATCAGCTGCTTCCTGCACAACTCCCTACTGGGGATTGAACCCACGACCTGGGCATGTGCCCTGACTGGGAACAGAACCAGTGACCTCTCCGTGCATGGGACCATGCTCAACCAACTGAGCTACATGGGCCAGGACTATCTTCTTTTTAAAAAATACATTTTTACTGATTTTAGAGAGGAAGGGAGAGGGAGAGAGAAACATCAATGATGAGAATCATTGATCGACTGCCTCTTGCACACCTCCTACTGGGAATTGAGGTTGCAACCCAGGCATGTGTCCTGATTGGAATCGAACCACAACCTTTGGGTTCATAGGTCAACACTCAACCTCTGAGCCAAACCAGCCGGGGTAGGGCCATATTCTTTATTAGGCTTTATTCATGGTTTTGCCTGCCATAATAAAAAAATTACTCATTTCTAATTAAAATGTTATGATGCTGACTGTACACATAACTTCTAACTCTTCCGCCCTAATACTTAAAATCTTAGAAATAATGGGTTTGATGTTTCTTTCTTCCAAGAGGTGAATTACCTTCCACTTCATTCATCCATTAAACCAGTGATTTATATACTAATCCAATGATTCAGGGTTAATTACTTTACCCCTGAAAGGAGATCTACTTACATAACCAGGAAGCTAGACATTCGCCCTCAATTACCCCAAATAGAGTTGTTGGAAGAACAGAATATACTAATATCCTATGGCAAAAGTTGGGGGACAAGAGAAGGGGGAATAAAGCCCTAAGATGTATTCTAATTGGTTTCTATAGATTTTTTAAAATTAAGTAATTAATTAGTTTAAAAAAAAATTTTTTTTTGAGAGAGAGAGAAAGAGAGAGAGAGAGAGAGAGAGAGAGAGAGAGACAGAGAGAGACACTGATTTGTGGTTCCACTTATTTATGTATAATATTCATTATGTGATTCCTGTATATGCCCTGACTGGGGATTGAACCATACATACCTTGGCGTATTGGGATGACATCCTAACCAACTAAGCTATCTGGCCAGGGCTCCCTACAAGGTTTTGAATTTGTTAAAAATACTAAAATTCAGGAGATTTCACAAAAATAAATCAGATTTCAGTTTAGCTTGGAAAATTTAGGTAATCTGGCATCACTAGATCTGACTTCCGACACGGCAACAAGAGGCTGGAGTAAGTAGTAGCTGTCTCACTTCTCAGGGGCACAGCCGGTCATGTGACCACCCTGTCACCCCTCCTTACAGCCGGGGCCATACAGGCATCTGAGCTGCAGACCTAGGGATGTATGCATTGTCATGGAAATATATCCAGTATCTACTAAGTGGAAAAAATGAAACAGAATACATTATGTATAACACAATTCTACTTTGGTGTGCATGTGCCTAGATATAATGGTTACGTACAGACTAAAAAAATTCATACTAAACTGTTACAGAGGGTTATTTGAGGGGTGGAACTGGAAAAAATGGGACTCTATAAGGATTTCAAAAAATTACAAATAACACAAAAACTGGATTGAAGGAACCATGGCTTTTACTTAAATGAAACAAGGTCATACAGCTACTTCTGGATTTTACTTGTATTACTGCTCTTTCTCACTGTCAAGGCCCTGGCTCACTGTCTTAACATGAGAACAAAGACTTGACAGCTACAGGAAACAAGTTTTCCTTGAACCTATCACATATCCTGCATCATTCATTATGACGATTCTTCACGTTATTCTGAGTTACAAGAAAAAGACTGCTCACTCCCACAGTATGTGGGGTAAATAATTTATCCTTTTAGAACTTGCCTTGATACCCTGAAAGAGAACATGGGCACCAGGGACATCAGAGAATACTCTACTCAGGCACCCTATGCAATTGCCAGTATTCCAGAACAAAAATCATTAGTCATAAGGCATTTGGGAAATAGCCCCGAGTGGAATAAGGAAAAGTAGTAGCTAATGCAGCTCCCTGTGCCAGGATGTAGGCAGTACATACCACGGGCCTGGTTAAGTCCTTGGGAACATCAACATGAAGGTTTGAAAACTGTACCCACTTCATGCTGGAACTGCTGTGTGGAGGGGAAAAGAGACACCTCAGTGAAATACCACAGGAGCCCACTCCTTGTTCAGTGAAGCACATCTAACTGCATACTTACAGAAGAAAGGCGCCATTTCTGGGTGTACTGTTCTTAGAACTGTTTACAGAAAAATCCCTCGAACCCTTAAAAAAGAAACAGGCACATGTTAGAATTAAAGTCAATCACCAAACCGTTCAGTTTTCACTAAAAAACAATAAAAGATGTATGCTGTTTCAAATAAAGAGCTATCTTGTTATTTCCAATGAAGATATTGGATAACTAAAATGCCAAATTAGATCTTATTAAAAAAACACACAAACAAGACAATAGTAGCATTGATAATCAAAAGGGACTCTCAAAATACTAGAGAATCTAGCCGAAGCCGATTTGGCCCAGTGGTAGAGCGTCGGTCTGCGGACTGGAAGGTCCCAGGTTCGATTCCGGTCAAGGGCATGTACCTTGGTTGTGGGCACATCCCCGGTAGGGGGTGTGCAAGAGGCAGCTGGTCGATGTTTCTCTCTCATCGACGTTTCTGGCTCTCTATCTCTCCCCCTTCCTCTCTGTGAAAAATCAATAAAATATATTAAAATAATAATAATAATAATAATAGAATAATTTCTCTAAAAAATACTAGAGAATCTACATATTTTAAAGTTTAGAAGAAATTTTTAAAACAAGTAATTCTCACATTAAAATAACAGCTATAACTTAAACTTGTGGACATCAAAGAAAAAATGTGGCTTAATTCCCCCATTATTTTTTACAGATTAAATGTAATCCAATTTAATACTTATTTGCCTCAATACTTTTGAACAAAAATGTCTTTATAAGTTATTAAGAGTTGAAATAAGAATTCTGAAGTACACTTCTTTTGAATTTTCTATCCACCTTTTCCAGCATATGTATTTCTTGGCTTGGCTGGGACAACTAGTTTATAAACAGAAATAAACACTGAACTTACATTCATTTTACACCATTACTGTGCCTCAAAACAATCCAGCTTTTCCAAATGCTTTGTTGTCAGCTCCCTCTAGTGGATCAAAACTTCTATATATTAACATGGTACTATATATATACTTAATTTGCTATCTTTTTTCCTTTAAGCTTTCCTGAGATTTAAAGACAGATCTTGTAACATAGAAAACCATAACAGAAACCTACATGATCCTATTAACCAATGTCACCCCAATAAATTTAATTTAAAAAGTGTAACCCAAGAAACTGGAAGTATGGATCCTTAAAACTACTCTGAAGATGAGAATAACTGTTTAGCACAAGTGAAGTTTAATTATAACTGAAGGTCATCTAGAGAAAGATTTGTGGAATATAATGAACAGCACAAACTGATCAACAAAAACAGATCCAGAGACAGAGAAGCATCGACCAGACTGTCAAACCTCAGAGGGAAGGCTGGGGTAAGGGAGAGAGATCAACCAAAGGACTTGTGTGCATGCATATAAGCCTAACCAATGGACACAGGCACCATGGGGGTGAGGGCATGAGGGGAGGTAGACGGGAAAATAGGGGGATAAGGACACATATGTAATACCTTAATCAACAAAGAAAAAAAAAAAAGCTACTCTGAAGATGACAGTAACTGTTTAGCACAACTGAAGTTTAATTATAACAACTGAAGGTCATCTAAACATGTTACAAAGCCCATTCTTAGTTTTTTTGTCCTCCTTCCCTTCTTCACCCAAGATGGAAGCAAATTAAGTATTTTATTTAATATAAATAAATTTTATTTAATATTCTCCCTTGGATCAGAGAAAAACAAAAAGAGGAGGAAGTCAGGCACAATACCAGGTAGGAAGAGGTGAGAGCCATTCTTCACACAGAATCACACAGAAAACTCCCTCCCACATTTCTGCCAGTGACCCCACTAATTCAGTGTACACCTGCCACTTCCATTCTCCCAGTATAAACCTCTGCTTCTACTTACTTGTTGTTTAAATGCATTACTTTTTTGGAGACAGAGAGGATGGGAGGAGAGAGAGTAACATCACCTAGCTGCCCCGCTTATTTATGCATTCACTGGCTGATTCTTGCAGGCGCCCTGACTGGTGAATGAAACCCTCACCAATGGAGCTACCCGGCCCAGGCAAACACCTCTGCTGCCAGGAGCTGGAGGCTAAGTGCTGTTACAGCCAAAACTAACCTTCAAATGTTCTTAAAATTTTCTTTTTGAGTAGGTTAAAGGTTACCTGGGTATGTGTCTTCGTTCAACATTTCAACCTCTAACACCATCAGTCTTTTCTTTCTTTTAAAAAAAAATTTTTTTTTTATTGACCTTTCTCAGAAAGGAAGGGAGAGAGATAAGAGAGCCAGAATCATCGATGAGAGAGAAACATCTATCAGCTGCCTCCTGCACAACCCCTATTGGGGATGTGCTCGCAACTAAGGTACATGCCCCTGGCCGGAATCGAACCTGGGACCCTTCAGTCCGCAGGCCGACGCTCTATCCACAGAGCCAAACTGGCCAGGGCACCACCATCAGTCTTTTCTTAAGTGGTTCTCAAAATGTGCTCTGAGGGCCTCTGGGGAGCCTGGCACACCCTCAGGGGCCTGCAAGACTGAAGCGACCGCCACAGGAACACTGAGGCCTTGCTGGCACCTCTCCCCTCTCATCCTCTCACAGGGAGCTTTCCCAGAGGCGGAGTGATGTGCGGTATGAACACAGAAGCAGATACAAGACTCCAGCTGTCTCCAAAAAGCCAGACCTTCAGGAGATTCGGAAAAAAACATAAAACACTGCCAGTCGTCTCATTCTCAGTAAATGTTTTTCGAAAATGTAATTATTGTCGTAAGTATGTTAATTAGGTTAACATGTAATGAGTGTATGGGTGTAACTTTTAAAGGCACAAGCTCTTTTAGGATTCTCAGTCTTATTTTCTGAAAAGCTACATCTCGGTAACTGAGACCCACACAGACAAGTTGTCTGGAGCTGGCCATTTTTTAGGGTGTCAAGGGGCGCTGAGGCCCCAAACCTGCAGAACCGCTGCTTAAGCTTCTGCTTCTGCAAAGGACCTCGCAGCGGCTATGTCACCCCCACCTCCGACGGGAGGGACTCGGACCTAAATCTCAGAACCCCTGGGCCGGAGGAGAGCGTCTCGATTTAGTTTGTGGGGAGGGATCTGAGCTCTCAGCCCCTCATTTTCTCCAGGCGAAGTTTCTGGTCTTCTGAGCCTCGGTTTATTTTGCCAACACAAAGGGGGGGCGGGTCTGGGATGTGTGACGTTCAACATCCTTTCCAGTTCTGTCATTCTTTTTTGTTCCTGCCTTTGCTCTGACTTCTGCTTTATCCCACGCGAGAATTCGAGATAAAACCAATCCCTTCCTGGCCACCGTCCTGCAAACGGGCCAAGATGCGGAATACAATCGCGGAAGGCTCCTGGTGGCCAGAACGACGGCTGTCAGACAGACTTGGGGGCAGCTGTTCCTGCGGGCCCGCCTCGCTCCCCCGCCTGCCCGGTACCTGCCTGCCAGAGGCGCCGGCACAAGGCCCCGAGCGCTGCGCGCGCCGCCATCTTGCCGTCGGCGACCCGGGATCGCTTCCGGGGTCACAGGGCGTCCTCGACCATAGAGTTCCGTAGGAGGAGAGAGTGTACCCTCTGTTCCGGCACCGGAAGGACCATAGAGATAGAGTTCCATGCTTTGTAAGGGCGCGACTGGGACTCCGGTCGGCCTCCCGGCCCGGTACCCGGTCTTGGTGAGGTTCCTGCAGCCTGTGTGTGGATAGTTTCCAAGGTCCTGCAATGTTTTCCTCCACAAATCGTCTTTTGTCCTGTGTGGTTCCTGTGTTTTTACAGGCAAACATAAACGCGTGCTTGGAACAGAAATACATTGACAGCGGTTACCTCTGGGTGGAGGATTAATGGTTGATTTGTGTTCCTAGTTCCGTAGCTTGAAAAATGTTACAAGAGCCCTTTTCCTTACTGCAGGAGCCTTGTAGTTATGGCCTCAATCCTGCCCGCCTTCCCCACACCAACTGGCATTTTTGTCAGCCATGCTGCGCACCGCTGTCCCACAGATTTCCCCAAATCTTAATGTTCTTAGGATACTCTAGCGTTTCAGACCTTCACCCAGTACCACAAGCCAAAAGGTGTTACAAACAGAAAGTGTCTGGTTATTAACATCTCCCATAATTGAGCTCCAACTAAAAGGCTTGTTACCGGGTTTTGCTGTAATAAAAATGTTCTTCCCCGTGTGCAGTTCTCTAAGCTTTGTTTCCCTGAAGTGCTTTCACATTTACCGTTCAGTATAATGGAAAACCCCGGGCTTATAATGAGGAGATCTGGGTGTAGACCCAGGTTTCCCATTTAGCTGAGTGACTTGGGCAAGTTCCTCCCCTCTCCGAGCCTCGGTTTCATATATCAATAATAGTCTCCTCCTTCAAATAGTTGCTTGGGGGATTAAATGAGATACTGAGGCATGATGTTTAGTACAATGCCTGGCCCATAATAATGCAAATAGATGGTATTGGTACCATAAAGTTGCTTCTGCTTCACCTGCCTCACAAGATTGTTAAGATTAAAATTTGTTAAAAACCAAGTTTTTGGGAGCATTTTGTAGCATGTAAAGTATTGTGCAAAATGTAAAGTTGTTTGTTTTTCCTTTCCTACCCTAATTTGCAGGCTAGAGAACCAAGGAAGAGATAGAATGATTTGCCCAATATCATACAAATTGATGAAAGATCTAGGACCAAAACCAAGTTTTCCTGCCCGTTAGATTGGCCTCTACTTACTGGAACTCATTCCTTGTGGAGGTGTGGCGGCAATGCCCCGAGTGGTCCTATCCCTGAGCCTGGGAACGCCGCACTTTACCTGTGCACACCTCTGCATGCTTGGCTCTGCGGGCTCCCACTCAGAACTGTGACATCCAACGTTGGCTGGTCTGTCTCAGCCGGCGGTGTTTCCAACAGCTCTCCAGTTCTGCTGCTGCTTCTGAAGTTTGCACCAGTCTGTGTGCCACTTCTGTGATGCTCCTCAGCCTGCCTCTGCCCTTCGAGTGCCCGCAGTTGGGGCATGGTCCCCCCCTGCCACATGATGGTGACAGTTCAACTTGCAAGCGACTTTCACCTGCGTTACCTGATCTGATCCTCAGAAGAGGAAACGAGGAAACTGAGGCTCAGAGATGAAGTGACTCACACAAATCATATGGTGAATTAGTTACAGCCGAACCGGTAACCCCTTTCAAGGCTTCAGTTCGATGCCTTTCCACCCGGGCAGTGGGCTGGTGCTGACCCCATGATCAGCTCCGTGCTGTGTAAAGCCTCTTTGGGTGTGAGGATTCGATTCTCACTTCCCCACTGTCCTGCAAGTAAAGGGGTTTATATTATTTTTAAAGATTCATCTGAGGATATTTCGATGGATTTTTTTTTGAGAGTGAAAGGGAGGGAGGCAGGAGAGAGAGGGAAAAACATGGATGTGAGACACATTGATTGGTTGCCTCCTGCACGGTGCCCTGAACGGGCCAGGAGTTGATTCTGTAACCAACGTACATGCCCTTGACCAGGAATCAAATCCATGACCCTTCAGTCCACAGGCTGATGCTCTAACCACTGAGAAAAACCAGCCAGGCCTATTTTTTTATTTTTCTCTTTAAAAACATGTGTGACCTGGACTGCTCTTGTAACTGGATATGTGGACTCAAAGCATCCTTAAGGACTGGATGCCCTCTCCATGCCTGTGGCCAAACATGGTCTTCATTGATGGGCGCTCTCTGATTACAAATAGTGTCTGTGCCCTCAGGACTCTTGCCTTGCTGTGGCCACTGCCTGCTGCCTTTGACTCATCAAGTTTCTCTATTCATATTCTTAGTTGTGGGAAGTTGATTTGGTCCCCTTGTTTCTCTGGGCTAAGCCATGCCAAATGTCACCTAATGGCCTACGGGCCTCACAGCTTGATGTCAGGTGGCAACCCTGGTCCAACTAGCTGCAGGCAAGATGGGAGTCATTGTGAGGGGCAAACCCTGGTTTTGCCAACAGAGGGGCTGTGGACAGGGCCCTTGGGTATAGTCTGTGGGCAAGGACAGTGTTCTGAAGGTTGGCCTACTATAGGTCTCTTCCCTACCACCTACCTTCCAAACCTCTAACCTAATGCAGATGAATAGGAGGTCAAATAATTCTGGAGAGTTGAGGCAAGTCCACCTTGCTTTGTACCCAGAAAAAATAAAAGTATGTGCATCAAATATTTCTAAGTTATATCGTATTTTGATTGCACCAGTGGTTCGGTTTTATTTTTTAATTTTTTTTGTTTATCCTTACTCGAGGATATTTTTCCATTGATTTTGTGGTTGGGGGTAAAGAACTATGAAAGCCAGATGGGCCGACCACCAAAATGGCACCAGATTCCATTGATTTTTAGAGCAAATGGAAGGGAGTGGGAGAGACAGAAAGAAACACCGACATGAGAGAGACATGTTTGGTTGTCTCCTGCATGTGCCCTGAACCAGGGCTGGGGTTCAGGTCTACAGCTGAGGTATGTGCTCTTGACTGGAGTCAAACCCAGGACTCTTTACTTCTCAGGTTGACGCTCTATCCACTGAGCCAAACCAGCCAGGGCCAGTGGTTCTGTTTTAAAAGGCAGCCTTTTCCTCTTGGTTGTGATGGTTTCATGGTTAATACTTATCTCCAAACTCATCAAGTTACGTACAGTAAATATGCATAACTTTTTATGTCAATCATATCTCAATAAAGTGGTTACAAATGGTGATACTGCCAAAAATAAAATTACACAGGCAGAGGAAGTAGCGTCCCAAAACAGTCCAAGGAGAGATCAATGTTGCATGTGACGGTATGTAGGAAGGCAAAGCAAGCATGTAGGGCTGCCTGCCTTCACAACTCAGAAGCAAACACTCCCCTTGGGGTGGGGTCGGGGGGAGAACAGCTCTTTTCAAAAGGTTGTCTCTCTCCTATAAAGGATATAATCAGCCCTTGGGCTCCTTGTTATAAGAATGTCCCTTGATCCAAAGATCACTGCGGTTCACTTAGGAACATATTACTCAATTTCTTAACATGCCTTCCTAATCATCTTGTTTGTGTCAACATCAAAACTCATCTGCATTCCTAGTGCGAACTGCAGCCAGCTGGCTTGGCTGAGCGTGTGGAAATTCAGAACTGACTTTAGGTAACTTCAGAAGAGCTTTTGTTTACACACACACACAAACACACACCCCTGAAACATTAGCAATAATTAATGTGACAGGTCGTTGCTGAGCACCTATTTTAAATGGCTGTGCATATGTGGGTAACGGTGAGTGAGGCAGCTCACAAATGAATAAAGCATGACCTTTGCTTTTCCCAGCGGTGGAATTGGACCAGGTCCCAGGTTCTCTTTCTAAGTATGGGATTCCTCCGCAGGAAGGAATGATGTCACAGTCATTTTCATACACTCAGCTCCCCCGGGTAGAATACAGTGTGGAACAGTGCCTAGTACATGGGGCTCCTGGGGATGGACAGATGGCTGTACCAGTAGGAGAAGGCTTCGGATTGGACACCGGAGCCCCTGGAGGCAGAACTTAAGTTTACAACACAGGCCAGTACAGTGCTTCTAGAAGAATAGCTGCTTAACACTGACAGCCAAAATGAAAGTAAAACAACCAAAGAACCTGGAAGATCAAGGTGCTAACAGGTGTGCCCCACTTGAACCAATTCTGTATAAAGCCCAGAATTTCAGATTACTCTTGAAGTTTATTGTTGACCATTAAAAAAGTAAACACATTCTTTAGAATTTGGAGGTCCAGACCAGCAATGCATGCAAACTGTGAGATACCTGTGTGAATATGAGACCCCAGTAAGGTGACCAGATGTCCCCGATTTTTAACAATTTGTCCCGCGTCCCTGCGTCTCACGGCGTTTTAAAAATCGGGACTGTTTTAAAACCTCGTGGGACGCGGGACAAATTGTTAAAAATCGGGACTGTCACGCCAAAAGCGGGACGTCTGATCACCTTACCCTAGTGGTTAGATACCACCAACTCATTCACTGCTGGAGTACAGAAATCTCTGTCCCTGCCCCCCCAGTAGGGGCAGGCACTTCAATGAGCATGAAACCTGACCAGCCAACTTCTAACGGGTCTAGAGAAGCCAGCTAACATAAGGTGACCAGACATCCCGATTTTTAACAATTTGTCCCGTGGTGTTTTAAAAAAGTCCCAATTTTTGGAAAGCATGTACGACAAGCTAGGGAACGACGGGAGAACAGGAAGGGAATACACGGTTTTCGGTGGCCCTGTGGCTATTTAGCCAGGATATGAGTTTTATATTATTTTTGTTAATTTTATAATGTTAAACTTTAATGATAACAAATAATTGTTGAGAACTGATAATCGAGAACTGCTTATCAAAGTTTGCATTGATGATCAGTTGTTAGCATTGTGGAATACGCGCTGTCCTTGCCAGGAACTAATGCTGCGACTGAATGCCTTTTTTCTACAGTAAATAAAGTGTGGACGTGGGAAAAACCACAAGTGTTGAGATTTTGAAAGCCATTTTATGTGTGAAATATAATTTAACAAATTCTTGTGAA